CCTACCCAAATAATGGCTTAATGACACTTTTTCATTCACAGACTTTCAAAATACCATTTTATTACATGATTTTATATGACAACGGTGAACAGAGAGCAAACTCGTCCATTCTGTTGGGGTTTTTGAAAAGGGAAGACCGATAAATCTTTCGATAGTAGAAAGTTGGATTTTGTTGGTTAAGATTGATCGGAATATGAATTTGGAGGGACAGCTATCAAAACTCTAATCACTTGATTGTCAGTGATTGACAGGGTCGATAAGATTAGGTTTGAGAAGTTTTGGTGAGTGATGATTGGGGAAGAGAATGGTGATAGTGTCGGGTTGCAATAGTGCCTGGAATTGGAAATGGAGTATAAATTTGGGTAATAAATGGTATTTTAAAGGCATGTGGATGGAAAAGTGTCATTAAACCATTATTTGGGAGGGAAAAGGTCGTTAACTCTCTGGTTTAATCACTTAAGACGGATGAAACTCATTCATGTCTCTGTTAATGAAAAAAGCTAAAAATTCTGGCTTTTTAACTTAAGACTAAAGACTTAGGGGATGTTTGTCTAAGTTTATAAGTTGGTTAAACTAGTTTATAAGCTCTAAAATTAAGCTGACCTGTTGTTTATAACTTTTTTAAGNAAATGTTATTTCCAAAATAACATTTAAAAAAGAGTTTAAAAAGAATAATAATATTTTGATATTCTTGCTAATTCAATTTAAAGAAATACATTAAAATAACAGAACTCAATGTAATTTGATAAATGAATTTTAAAAATAGTTAAAATACTAAAAAGATGTTTGTTACCTTTGGGTTGTATACGATTAGGGAGAAAACAAGGTTCTGTATTTTCTGAAAATACAAAATAAAAGTACTTCACATATTAATGAGGAATAAAGAAGAAAGTTAAATTTTATTGGATTTTCTGAAAATACAAAATAAAAGTACTTCACATATTAATGAGGAATAAAGAAGAAAGTTAAATTTTATTGGATTGTTATCAAAAAAAAAAAAAAAATCACAAAAAAATAATTAATTGAAACAATATTTAGAAAATTAAGTGTTATTTCCAATGTTGCAATTAGATAAAGACCTATTACTTAACTTAAGCCCACTATATTAACTAAAGCCCATTTATTTAACTTAAAGCCCAAATTGCACAAAGTGATTTTCTTAAATTTCGTAAGTTATATTTTTATCAAATATGGTGTTTATATCTTTTGGTTCGAGTTAACTCTTGTATAATGTCATTTTAGTCTAGTATAATGAATCCAACGAAAAATATATATAATCATGACCAAATTTATATCAAGACTTTCTCACTAAGATTTAGTGACATTTATATTTATTGTTGGATTCATTACATTAGACCAAAATGACGTTAACCAACCCTTTGTGGTTCACATTTTTTATTTTTGAATTCAAGTTTGAAGACAAATTAAAAATTAGTCTCCCAAAAAATTAATTCAAGAGAATTAAAAAAATGCTTCATCAGCATACAAAACTGAAATTACACATAATCTTGAATCCAGATCACTAATATGGGAAACCTTGCAACTATTTCACATTAAATTTAGACCTGGCATCCATGGCCTTAAGCTATTTTTTGTTTACTCTTTGTATGTATATTTGAGTTTTCTCAAGATTTTAACACCCACATTTTGAAATTTTAATATAAGGTAGTTTAGTAAGTGAGGTTTTACCGTTTTAAGGGTGCAATTGAAATTGCCAACAGCCTCATCTTGGAATAGTAACATTTGATTTTTAATCCCTAAAGACCCATAAAACCCGGAATAAACAATGAAACTTAAAGGATGATGACAAGTCGTTGTTAATTGCATCTTTTGGTTCAAAGGATGCATGTGATAATTAATAGTTTATTAAGTAAATTGCATAGCATGAATAGGTGACAACATCATTTAAATAATAAATAAAGATTAGTTTATAACCTAATCTTATAAATTTTCTCTCATAATTTCAATAAAACAACTCGTAATTGATCAGTTCGCAATTGGACAGATAAGACCTATAACAAGTAGATATAACCTATTTGCGAGTTGACTAATTGCAAACTATTATGTCAGAGTTGTGAGAGAAAGTTTATGAGATTAGGTTATAAGTGTAATATTGTCAGTTAAATAATTAAATTTAATCATTTTCTTGTGTCATTTTTCTTCATGAATATATTTAAAATTTGTTTACAAATCAGAGAATGCATGTGAATTTTTTTTCTTGGGGGCTGAAAGTAATGTTCAATGAATAAAGGGGTTAGAGAGGACAGATACATATGTGATGGGTCTAAGTGTCGTGTTCAAAATATGAGGCGGACAAAGGAAAAATCTAAAGTTACGGGGACAAAATTGATAATTTTTTTATATAAAATTATGTTCAGGTTGTCCAGATCTTTGAGAATAAAGATCTAGAAGACTCGATAATTTGCTCACACAATAGCTGACCAAAACTGTATTAATATAAAAGAAAGACTTGAAACTTAATTAGGAGTTGCCTGCTAATAACATTTAATTAGTCATGCATCTAACTTAAATTAATTAACAATTAAATAAATGAAACTTAAGATCAATTTGAATTTTTTTTTTGTGACCACGATGTCAATATGATAGTGATCATTTAGTAGGATTCGAACCTAAAATCTCTGGCTAGCCTAAATTCCTGTCATCCGGCGACAAACTAAGTAATTAATTAATGATAAGAATTATAATATTAGGTCTTTGTTAATTGCAATTTACAACTGTCATTAGTCTTCGCTCACATTAGAAAACCCTCGAAATTTGGATGAAAGCACATTTTATAAGCCCATGGAACTCCGTAAAATCATAAGAGTGGTTGTATTCTTTCCCTATTACACTGGATTAAAGAAGCCTCATTTTTTTTATAATTTTTATAATTGCATATTTATCCGTATATCTTAGCATCAATTCTTTATTCTAATAATGCCTTTGACATCCCTCTTCATGAACCCTAAATCTTTTTATATTTATTCAAATATATTACGATGAAGTTAAAATAGTTTTCAAAACTAAAAGGATAGTTTAATAAAGAAAAATGTTTTGCAATGAGATTTGTTGTGTTATAAAAAACATAAAATTATAAGTTTTTTGATGAATCTTTTATATTAAAATATTTGTGAGTTGTCTGGTTTAGAGTTAACGACTTTTTCCTACCTAAATGATGGCTTAATGACACTTTCCTATTCACAAACTTTCAAAATATCATTTTATTACCTGATTTTATATTACAACAGTGAACAAAGAGCAAACTCGTCCATTTTGTTGGAGCTATTGAAGAGGAGAGGCGGATGAGTATTTTGGTGGTGGAAGATTAGATTTTATTGGTTGAGATTGATCAGAATATGACTTTGGAGGGACAGTTACCAAAACCCTCATCATTTGATTGTCAGTGATTAGAAGGTCAACGAGAGTAGGTTTGAGAAGTTTTGGTGAGTGATGATTGGGGAAGAGAATGGTGGTGGTGTGGGTAAAGGCATGTGGATGGAAAAATGTCATTAAACCATTATTTGGGAGGAAAAAGGTTGTTAACTCTCTGGTTTAATCACTTAAGACTGATGAAACTCTTTCATGTCTCTGTTAATGAAAAAAGCTAAAAATTCTGGCTTCGTTTGGTTCAAGATTGGGAATACTACTCTTGGTATTCCCAAAAAAGTTAAACAGTAAAATACCAAAAATCTCTCATTTTTTGGAATACTATTTTCAATATTATTTTTTTTTTAAACCCTCTAAATTTGTTAATTTAATTAAATACCCCTAAATATTTTTTTAAAATTATAAAAACACCCCAACAATCCACATTTACCAGATTCCAGCCACCACTACCGGAAAATGGCCGGAATTTGGTAGAATGGCGCACTACCGGCTGAATCTGGCAGGTAGTGCACCGATCTAGCCTTTTCCGGCCAGATCCACCGTGGATCTGGCCGGAAAAGGCCAAATCTTTGGCCGTAACACTCGGTCACGACGGCCAACAAACGGTCGTCGTTGACCATCAACGACGACCATTTGTTGGCCGTCGTTGAGAGCAAATACGGCCAGATCTGGCCGTTGACGGCCAGATCTGACCGTAGATACGGCCAGATCTTTGGCCGTAACACTCGGTCACGACGGCCAACAAACGGTCGTCGTTGACCATCAACGACGACCATTTGTTGGCCGTCGTTGAGAGCAGATACGGCCATATCTGGCTGTTGACGGCCAGATCTGGCTGTAGATCTGGCCTTTGCCGGCCAGATCCACTGTGGATCTGGCCGGAAAAGGCCATATCGGCGCATGCCGGCAAGATCCAGCTGGTCATGCGCCCATAAAGTGACTCCGGCCACCTCCGATGGTGGTGGCCGACTGGAGGTGTTTGAGGGTGGGTTAGGAGTATTTTTGTTAACTTTTAATGTTTTATTATAGGGGGTACTTTGTAAAAAAACAAACATATAGAGTATTTTATTAATTTATAAATCCTACATCGTAATACCCCCCCAATTCAACTTTTTTTTAACTTTTTTCAAAAAACTTTTCCTAAAACCCCCAAATTTTGAACCAAACGGAGCCTCTGGCTTTTTAACTTAAGACTAAAGACTTATTCATTTGTCTTAAATGACATTTTCAAAAATATCCCTATTTTAATTTTTGAATTCCAATATACCCATTAAAACATTAATCTCTACTAACCCATTCTATACATATTATTTTATTTTCATTGTAACAAACATAATGGACACACAACTAAAAAATTAAATCCAATAGTTTGTAATTTGTCAAACTATGCATATACACCGTTGGATCGAATTTGTAAATCAAATGTAATGAATCCAATAGTTTAGTCCAATATAATGAATTCAATGGTGAATATATATAATCATGACTAAATTTATATCAAGAAGTTAATTCTTACTAAAGATTTACTGACATGTATATTTACCATTGGACTCATTACATTAGACTAAAATTATATGAACCAACTATAGTGGTTCACATTTTTACTTACGAAATCAAGTTTGAAGACAAATTTAAAATAAAAATTGGTCTTCCTAAAAATTAATTTAAGAGAATTATGAAAATATGCTTCACCAGCATACAATTTTGATTACACATAATCTTGAATCCAGATCACTAATATGGTAAACCCTGCAACTATTTCACATTAAGTTTAGCCCTGGCATGGCCTTGAGCTATTTGGAACTGATCGGTCATACCAAAATGTGCCATAAGAAGCCATACATGAGTGAGAAGCTCTCCTCCACGTCTCAGCTGGCTAGCATGCTGACTTCCTCTACCCTGACTTGCAGCAAAAGTTAACATCTCCAACCAAACATCTCTAATCAATTTCCATCTCTTCTTTGTGTCTGAAATTTCTTCATTCAGTGCTGATGCTACCCTGCATGCATCAAATAACACTGATTTGCTTCTGTCTCCTTTCACTTTGTTGGGCGGGACATAAGTTTTCACTTTCAGTAACATTNTGGCATGGCCTTGAGCTATTTGGAACTGATCGGTCATACCAAAATGTGCCATAAGAAGCCATACATGAGTGAGAAGCTCTCCTCCACGTCTCAGCTGGCTAGCATGCTGACTTCCTCGACCCTGACTTGCAGCGAAAGTTAACATCTCCAACCAAACATCTCTGATCAATTTCCATCTCTTCTTTGTGTCTGAAATTTCTTCATTCAGTGCTGATGCTACCCTGCATGCATCAAATAACACTGATTTGCTTCTGTCTCCTTTCACTTTGTTGGGCGGGACATAAGTTTTCACTTTCAGTAACATCCTGCAAGCTTCAATTCTTTTTCTCTTTCTCTGATCAATGACGTGAATTTGGGTATTAGAAAAATTGGACTTTCGTTCTTCTAAAAAATTCCTGGCTTCAGAGTGAGTGTCTCGAAACCTGAAAAGGCCAATCCCAACTGGCAACAAGGATGGATACATGATAAGGAGAAACAACATATATCGTGACAGAAGCTTGCTCAGTTTTCGATTGGTGTAATCTGAAATATCTGAAACTTTGCCCTGAGTGCCCGAGTAATAGCAAAGTTCAGTTGCAATGTGCCAGATAAGGATGCTCTGATCAAACTCAACCTCCGTAATGCTCCAATCAAAAGGACTAGGATTAGTCTCGCCATAGTACTTCTGAAGCGAGCGGATTCCCCTATTCGTGTATATGTCTCTGCTATTTGTCTCCTTAAACTTATCACATTTCTTCAGGGCATGTTTGAAGATCATCTTTCTCAGATTTTCAGGCACTTCTTTACAAGTTTTATAGCGGTACTTTTCCCAGAGTTGATCCATGTGCAAGCGCTTCAGGATTTTGTTAGGCCCAGATTTCTCTATGAGACAAAGGCATGTAAGACTATATTGCCCCATGGAATTAGACCACCTTGGTAGTTTAACTACTGGTTCCAGAAAGGTAATTATGAGTTTTAAGTTTGAAATTTTCTTATGCTTACTGAACCATAGACTGGCATGGTCTGAGAGAAATAGAGAAAAGGCTGCATATATTTCTAAAAGTATTGCGCCAATCAGCAAGGAGAAGGTTATTAAAAGGTCTACCTTGACATAATTGTTCTTGTCAGCAAAAAAGAAAATCAGAAACGCCATGCAGGTGAGACTGAATGTGATTATGCGGAGACCAAAACCCCGACGACTGTGAATTACAGTTGCTTTGGTGTACAGTAAATCATACATGAAACCTAATTCGATAGCAATCACATTGAACGCATCTTCATGAGACAATTTCTGGAAAAAAGACTGACTGTTGTCGCGATCCTGGAAGCTGAGGATGAGATCCGCAAATAGACACTTGAATGTCTGAAAAAAGGCATGGGCTCTAAGTATGTTGTTGTCATCAGCTGAGGACTCTGATCTAGCTGCAGATACATCTATTTCAACCTGAGCATCTTTCACTTCTTCTGCCTCCACAGAGAACCCCTCTTCACGTTTCAAACTAAACTCTTCCATGAATTTGGGATAGTTGGGACCAGGATCAGGGTCAGTGAGCATAGAGTCTCTAAGTTGACCACTGCTAGCCAACCAAAGTGTGCATGTCCTCTCTCCATACTTAACGCACCCAACCAAAATCATGAGTATTGCTAGAAATGAAAGATGAGCGCCACTCCATGCCAAGAGAAAGATGTATATTGCTGATACTGTCTGGACAAGTAGTCCAAATAGGTGCCTTAAATACAATTCATTATCCTCTAAAGAATAGGCTGTAATAGTATCAGGACCACCCAAGTGCAACAGGAAAAATGGTGCCCAAAATGTGGTAAGCTCGTCGTTGTGGTCAAGATTTTTAGAAGCACCATTCTCATATATTTCTCCTAGATTATTTAAGAGTACGCCAAGGCCCATGGTTGCTACAGAATCTGCCAGCAAATAGACACACCAGACTATAAATCTAATCAATACACCGGAACTATACTTCCTGCGATTGCCCAGAATGATGAGAACAATTTGTGAGATAAGGCTAAGGAAAACCAATGCCCTGAGCTCCCATTTATTCCACAAATCTCTTAACCTTTGAGGAAGCACCTCCATCATCATCCTCCTCTTCACCAGGATCAAGCTGCTAACTACTAAAAATGTATATATGCAAAATACATGAGTATTTGGCGAATGAAATATGATTATAACTATGGATGGCACAGGGTTTAATTTCTCCTTTCATACATGATGTTGTTATGAAATTTGAGAAGAAATATATTTTTGAGTATCAGTATGTTGACATTCAAGTGTCATGGCCCAAAAATAAATATAAAAATAAAATAGAAAGAATTGCTACCTGTGAGTATCATATCCGAGATATTGCAGTTTTAATCTGAAGCAGATTATGCGTTCTGAAACCAGTTTCAATGGTGTCTGTGTAAAGTAAATTGTGTGCTTTGTGGTTGTTATACCGAGGTTTTTAGTGACACCCCTAAGGTTTAGAAAAACAAAGGAGACCGGTAGGTTTCAGAATAAAACAATTACACTTGACAGTTTAAGAATGAAACTTACACACCTTTGTGAAAAATAACTATCATAAGGGTAATATAGACAACTAAACAAAAAAGTAAGTTTTTTATTTTCCAAATGTCTTATTGAACTGTCAAAATTTAATAGAGTAATACTACACGTTACGAAGGAATTTTACAAAGATTTTCATACAAAGTGTGTGTCAAAAATGAATGGAAGAGTGAATTTAATAAGTTGACTTTTTGTTTCACTCTTTCATTATTTTACTGCCACCTGCGGTCCACTTTATATGAAAATCTTTGTAAAATTTCTTTGTAAGTATAGTATTATTGTTTAATAAATTTAAATCATTTAATATATTTAATATTTTGATCTTGCCATAAATATCATATATTGGTTTCTTTTCACAACAGGGTATATTAGTTATTATACCAAAATTATGTGTTTGAATAATTTTTCACAAGTTGTCTACCAATTAAGGATGTAAAATATCCTATTCCAAAACTTAGGGGCAGTCTATTAGAAAGCCATATTGAGTTTGACTTTAATTAAAAGGCCATCAAGTTTTAAAGTCCTTACAAATGAGCTTATTTATGATTAAGTTTAAGTAATCACTAATCATGTTTTAATTAGGCTTAATCAAGCATTTAGTCATTTAAAAAAAATTATATTTGTCCCCAAAAACCCAAATTTTTTGCAAAGAAACCCAAACCCAAAACAAAGAATTTGCCCCCTCACTCTCGCCATTAACAACATGCCTTCTTGCTGGTCTTCTTAGCAAAATCGAAGCCCACTTCCTCCTCTTCCTCTACATCTTCTTCTTCCTTTACATCTTCTTCTTCCTTATTACACAAAGAAAGAGATATTTTGAAAGTGCTAGAAGACATAATAGCCGGTGAAGTTATGCCTCCTCCTCCTCCTGACATTTTATCTAGGTTGGTGTTACTCCTCTTTGTATTTTAGATTTCTATCCACTAAGATTTTATGGATTGGGTTTGGGTTTTGATTTTGATTTAATGAATTAGGTTTTGGGGTTGTGTTTGATGTAATGCAAGCTGAAAGGAGTGAATATTTTTGATGATTTTCTTGCATTGTGGGTAGTTGTGGGTGGTAGAAATTACTAGAATTGATTAGGTGCAGATCATGAAAAATAAGGATTCCAGACCTGATCGATCGTTTAAGCAATTTGGTATATCGCTTAAGCTATCTGGTATATCGCTTAAGCAACGCTGGAGATGTCCTTTAAAATCTATCAACCCTTAATATATCAGTTAATAATTTTTTTTCTTGCATTATAGGTAATTGACTATTATTAGACATGGGACTAGTTATTTTGGGTGTTGAATATTTTGGTGAGTGGGTGGTCGAAAAAAGTTTTGGATGTGGATTGGGAAGAACAAAGAAATTATACCAATTGTTATAAGTATAGAAGTTACTTTTGATGACTTGATTGATGAAATCATTAGAAGAGGTAAGCTGAGCTGCTTGCATAGTGATATAGTCATGAAGTACATTTTAAGTAGAGTACCTCTACATTATAAGGTATCCCATATTGTCTTAAAGTCGGATGAAGGTATGAAGTTATATATGCTTGATGTGGGTGATAATGGTTCAAGGCCAATTTTAAGGGTTTCTGTTATGGATAAACTGTTGGAAGTTGGTGCTGAGAATGTTGGTTTTAATTTTAACTACGAGGGCATTGATTTCTTTGTTGATAAATCAAAAGTAGTTGGTGATTTGGGTGGTGAGGAGGACGCTATAGAAGAGGTTGTTCATGGCGGGTAGAATAAAATTGTGGACTAGGAGGACACTATACATGTTCCCACAAATGTAGAGATTCCTATAAATTCAGATCATGTAGAAGGTGTAATTTGTGAGGAAGAGAACACTATAATCCTTTATGTAGATTTAAAGATGGGAACTGCAATTACTAGTCAAGCATCTCATGTGTATACTGATGGTTCAGACTTATACGTAGGCTATTTATTTGACAACAAGGAGCAAGTGGTCAGGAAGCTAAAACTTGTTGATGTGAGTGGTAATTTTGAGTTCATCTCCAAAAAGTCTAATTCACTGATAGTGACAATTGCATGTTATGGATGAAACTGCAGGTGTCGAGTTTATTGTAGAAGGTATGTGAATTTGAGAAATTTATTGTCAGCACATATACCCGTGAGCACTCATGTGGGTTGGGACATATTTCAGGTCATTATCGACAAGCCTCCACTGATGTTATTGGACAATTCGTGACAATTCAATTTGTTGATGGGAAAGGTCCACCTCTTAAGGACATTTAGCATTATGTGCACACCATGTTTGGATGTGATGTCAAATACTGGAAATGCTGGAAAGGAGACAATTGCACAAATTTTGGGAGAGGCACGCTTGCGCACAGGTACGCAATACAAGAAGCGTATCATTTTATACTTGAGTTGACAAACGAAGGCAGCATGATAGCTTTGAAGTGGGACAAGAATATGAGGTTTACATATTTTTTTTGTTGCTTACGGAGCTGCCATAAAGGGTTTCCAAAACATGAGAAAGGTGTTGGCCATTGATGGTTGTTTTTTGATGGGAAAGTTTAGAGGTACATTGTTGGTTGCCACTGCACATGATTGTAAGAATCACACATATCCCGTTGCATGAAGTGTGGTTGACTCTGAGAACGACAAGTCATGGACTTGGTTTTTTAAGCAATTAGTTAACATAGTGCTTTAGAGTAACGAATTGTGCACAATATCCAATAGGCACAACTTTATAAAGAAGGAAGTTGCCACTATTTACCCTCTAACACATCACTGATTCTGTATAAGGTGTTAGGAATCGATCTACCCAATGCAGCAGAAAACAAAAATTCAAAAAGGATGAATCGATTCATTTTATGCCAAGATCAAGGTATAGATTATATAGTTTACATGTTAAAACAAAATTCTGCACAAAATAATACCAATCTAGATGAGGATCAGAGATTTTATGCACATCTTAAGGCTCCTTCAAATGTCTTTGAATCTATTCCGCTACCTATTTAGCGCAGAACCGAATGAACGGTGATCCATGAGAAGACAATCCGAAGAACAAAAGAGAGATTTGCTAGATCCACTAATTGGCTTCAAGAATCAAGATCCTTAAAGAATCAAGAAGAGAAAACTCTCTTCATTTTCTTTGCACAGGACGTGAGGGAGAGAGTGTAAAGGCTGGCAATCTTTTTCTTTCTTTTAATAATGGAATAATTATTGATCATCAATTTCTTAACACAACCTACACTTATATAGTGCAAGTTATTGAAACCCTATTCCTATAGGGAATACACATGGTTCCAACTCTAGTCCACCCTTGTGTCCAAACACCCATCTCATAGTATTTTATTTTTAATTAATTATTATTATAATTAAAATTAGTTAATATATTTATAAAATATATTAACATTTAATTAATAACAATAATTCATTTAAATATATGCATACATATATTTAAACAGGCAACAACCTTAGCAAATTCAATTGCACTATAAGATTACTAAAATACCTTCTTGACCTAAAAGATGAAAATACCCCTTGAACAAAATGATTCTTAAATTATCTTCTAAGTATGTGATTCGTAGGCTCCTCATCATATCGACAGTGAGTAGTATCGCGATTAATACCAATTAATCATCTCACTCAATATAAACCAAGATTGGTCCCTAGCAAGGCTTTATGGCCACCCAATAGATTCAGATTCAGCGAAATAGCTACCTATCAACAATATGATTACCGTACAATCAAATCTTTTTATCATCTGTTATCTCATCAAGACTGGGGTACATAAATAGTGTCAACCTCAATTGTCCTCGATACCTTTGTGTTCAGTTATTAGACCAATGACGGGAATAATAAATTGGATTGAGCAACAACTCAATCCCACTATGGCCACATATTTAGTGTCATTGTCATTTACTAAATTGCGTCGTGAGATAACTTCTCCAGTACCTGGGAGTGATGAATCATTTGTCGATCCACCATAGTCTTGATGCATTCCTCGATGCAACCAATTACTACTGTATTGACAACTCTGAATAGAACTACGTTGGGCTAGTGTCAAACTACACCAATCGGTGCACAAGGTGCTCTGGTGATCTCAAGTCTAAGGATCACATGCACCACCATTCGTTAGAGGATTTATTCCATAAACACTGGGGTTACCATCTATATGAAATCCTCTAGTGAGCCAGTCTAGTGAACTTGCCTATAGCAAGCACCCATGTGTTGCACCAGTTTGTCGGTAAACAATCTTGACGAGTGAGATCAGTCACTGCCTTTTGACAGGATTGTTCAACACTATGATAGCCTTACCGTATTATCTCTGTCCTTGGTCAGAATAATACTAGGGCTACAGACATTTCTAGAATGGCCACCATATGTGATCACAGGGTTCTCATTATCAAGATTTGACACATTTGATACCCTCGTCACGTTTCTACCATCCTAAGGATATATATCAATACATACAAATATGATTTACATGACATAGAATAAAATGTCTTTTATTGATTAATGAATATTATTACAAAGAGTCAATTTCACAATAATTGATTGGCTTTGGGG